TGTATTCTGCATAAGTTAAATAAGCAGGATGACAATATACAGCCTTGATGTACTCCTTTCCAGATTTGGAACCAGTCTGTTGTTCCATGTCCAGATTAATTTCGGGTAAATTGATCTGTTAACAGTATTAAGAAAAAAATAGGTCTTTTTATTCATTCAATTACATTTTTATGTCCTTCAAGAAAATATTACAGTTTAAAAAATATATAGGTGTACCCATTTCTTATTAAGTTTATTCTAGGTCTTATTTTTACACTCTTATAAATGAGGTAGATTGCCTCATTACATTTTATAGCTAAATACTGCCTGTTTATTGAAATGCTGCTGAATGTGGATATTAATTTTGAAATCAGTCCACCTAGCTGAATTACCATCTGTTGTTACAGAATTTCACCCAATTGATTCTTTTGTACTTTCTATGTAAACAACTACATTGTCTAAAAATAGTAATCAGTTTTTATCCTCAATTGAAATATCAATGCCTTATATTTTTCTCTAATTACATGACCAATGCTTTCAAAACAACAAATTTTAATTTGAGATGATTCCAGAAAGTAACATCTATTATAATGACCTATTATTTAATGACTTACAGTGAAGAATTATATATACTATATATATATATAGGCATATTGGACTGAGGAAAGATAAAACCTGGTAAAATCACTTTCAATAAGTTTTTTCATTTACCTTTTTCTTTCAAAGACTGTCAACTTTAAAGAAAAACACCATTCCCCCATATTTGTTATTATCACAGCTGAGATTTTATCATGTATGCATATAACAGGGGCTTCCCGAGTGGCTCAGTGGTATGGAACGTACCTGCCAATGCAGGAGACTTGGGTTCGACCCCTGAATCAGGAAGATCCCCTGGAAAAGGGAATGGCTACTCACTCCAATATTCTTGCCTGGAGAATCCCATAGATAGAGGAGCCTGGTGGGCTACGGTCCATGGGGTCACAAAGAGTTGGACAAGACTGAGCAACTAACACTTTCACACCTGAAACTAATATAATGTGACATTGTCAGTGAAAGTCATTCAGTCATGTCCAACTCTTTGCAACCCCATGGACTATACAGTCCATGGAATTCTCCAGGCCAGAACACTGGAGTGAATAGCCTTTCCCTTCTTCAGGGAATCTTCTCAAACCAGGGATCGAACCCAGGTCTTCTGCATTGCAGGTGGATGCTTTACCAGCTGAGCCATGCTAATTACACGTCAAAACAAAACCTAAACCAGCAACTCAATTTGTCACTAGCCACAGGGCTGGTGGCTGCCGTGGGCTCAGCACTGATCCCAGACCACTTGCATCGCTGCAGAAAGTCCTACTGGGCAGCACTGGCCGAGCCATCACTTTGGCCACAGAGCCGAGAACTTGACACAGTCACCCTCAGAAAAGCAAAGTCAGGCAGACTCGACTCCACCTCCTCCCAGGCCAGTGCTTCCTATTTCCAGGAATGACAGCAGTTCTCTGCTGCTGGAGATGGACAGCCTCAAGGTGCCAATCCAGGAAACAGTCTTCTATGCAACATATTTCCATGACAAAAGGAAGCAGTCCTGTGGCTGGAATCGTCCAGACCATGAGTTCAGGGGTCTTTTCATATTTTTTAAAGAGAAAACAAAAGAGGCAACAACTCCTGTTTTCCTTTCCATTCAGTTCCTTCAAGGTCCTTGAGCTCCGAGGCAGGGAACCATGCTGTTCTCCCTGTGTCCAGCCCACGGCCCAGCAACCAGGATGGGAGGGGAAGAAAATGACAATGTCACCTTGTCCCTTAGGAAACACTTGCTCAAAGTTCTGTGTCCACAGCAGGGCAGGCTGGAGTGCACCAGCTGGCCAGGTGAGGGCCCAAGAAGTCAAGGGCCACAGGTGCAAAGGTGGGGGGAACCCAGCTCCCTGTCCCTGCTCCCCGCATGCCCCACCCCCCTTCCCTTCTGCAGATGGAGAGCTGGCCAAGTTTCTTCCCTGGAACACTGAACTCCTGGGCTCAGCCTCCAGCCCCTGTTCAGAGCGCAGTGTCATCACTGAACTGCGGTCTGAGGGCAACCCAGCAGCTGCTTGCTCTGTCCTTTAAAGAAAACAAAAACAGCAGAAACTTCCGCTCCAGAGCCTACGCATGGAGCCAAACCACCGCCTACCTTGGGCCTGGGATGAAGCCCTGGGGAAAAGTTCTGACTGTGTGAATGCCCAGAGCTGCTGGGGACCAGAGCTGTGACCTCCTGGAGTTCACAGGACCATCTTCCTTCCATGGAGGCTCTTAGGAAGGAGAATTAGCCAAGTATAAGCTGCAGCTGCTGCTGCTTACAATAACAACAACAATAATAATATAGTGGCACTTTTCACTTTTCCCCTCATCAATTTCCTTAATTCTCACAGCAACCCTGCCTGGAAGTTCTTTTCCTATCTTCATCCTGCAGATGCGGAGATTGGCTTTGTTGTCGCTGTTTACTCACTCAGTCGTGTCCAACTCTTTGGGACCCCATGGACTATAGACCGCCAGGCTCCTTTGTCCGTGGGATCCTCCAGACAAGAATACTGGAGTGAGTTGCCATTTCCTTCTCCAAGGAATCTTCCTGACCCAGGGATCGAACCTGCATCTCCTGTGACTCCAGCATTGGCAGGCAGATTCTTTACCACTGAGCCATCTGAGAAGCCCCCTATAAATAATTACTCGACATTTATTTGAAGGCAAGGTTTTCATGGCCCAAACAGAAGAACCAAAACCCCTACAGTTGAGCAGACAATCCTCTTCAGAAAGCAGACTGTTAATTGTATGGGAAATTTTTTACTGTTGTTCTTTCCCCCAAATTTATCTATGTCAAAGAAACCGTCATAATAAATTATGACTTGAATTTGGGGGCAATGTAAGAGAAGCTCAGAGAAAATGAATAACCTTGTTAAGAAAACCCCTAATGCTTTTGCATGTCACTCATCCTAAAAATGCTACAAAAGATACCTGAGAATTGACCTTGAAAGCCAGCTCCTGGGGCCAGCGTGTGATTCACTGTGGTCTTACTATTCTCATCAGCCAGGAGGATCTAAGTTATTAATACACTGGAGGGAGCTTTCTGGCTTCCAAGTGATGTCTTCAGTATTAGCTAATCTGGATGTTCAGAAGAGGCTGAGAAGATGCATGATTTGACCTTAGTTTTATCAGAAGGTGATAAAACTCAGGTTCAGAAGGGTGTTAAACAACTCACTCGAGGTCATGTGGTTGGAAGGAGCCACTGCTGCTGATGGAAAAGCATCCAGAATCCAGATGAGCCAACCATCCCTGATGCCCTGGTGAGATGCGGTTCAATGACTCAAGTGTCTTTGATGCTGTCAGAAAGCGAGAGTGCTTCTTAGTTGATTGTTAGGAAAGAGGCTATTTAGATTATTACAGATGTTCAGGCCTGAAAATGAAGGAAATCAGGTAGCTGCGAATTTAAC